CTCTCGAGTATATAGCAGGATATTTTGCCTATAAATATAAAGAAAAATACCCAAACTTAATTAATTCCACTAACAAAATTAAAAATCATTACAACTATAGCATTCCGTCATGGGTGCAACATTTATCTTATGGAGGTCTTATTAAACCTACTGATGAATGGCTAGTTTAAAATGGAAATCTTTAAAAATTATAGAATGGAATAAATATTTCGAAATATATCACGATGAATTTTATAAAAAAAGGCACCGGAGTTGTACAGAATTAGTCAGTGGAAACAGTTTTACCTTTTACTTTAATAAAAGATTTTTGTAAATTAAGAACTATAATAAGAATTAAGTATAGAAATGTTAAACAAGAAAACTATAAAATATTGAAAAGAATCCCTTCTGAAAATAGTGATTGTCGAAAAAAAATTAAAAAGTTAAGTAAGATAATCACATAATAAAAAATATAGCTCATTAATTTGTTAAATACAGTAAATATTAGACAAAAGACTTGTAAATTTATTGACGTACAGTACACTTATTAAATCCGAAAATTCTACAGTAGTTTACATTTAGTAGTAATTTAATAATTAATTAAGAAATGATTTAATATTTTATCGTATTTTGTTATTTGAAAGATCTGTCATGTTGAAGTAGAGGGCTTGCTGTGACGTCACATAGANGAATGGGCAACTTAATTTAAGCAATAAGTGTATTGGCAGGTGGTCCTGGTAACAAAATTGTGCACAATAGTACAGTAGAAGACCCCCTATAACACTGTAGATAATTCCGTGTTATATGAATTGCATGTTGTACGAGTCACTTAGATTTTACAAATACGTGTGCCGGGTTGTGAACGGCTCACGTATTTTTAAAATTTAAGTGACTCGTACAACATGGAATTCATATAACACGGAATTATCTACAGTGTTATAGGGGGGGTCTACTGGTATTTAGAGACACATTCCGAAAGAGTGTAAACACTTCTGCAGTTTAGGAATTCCGTTTATATCGATATTTTCTTAATAATTGTTAATTTAAAAAAAAATTAAAATTAAAATTTATAATCGACATTTTAAATGAATAAAATAACAGTTATAGTTTACTCGATTATAAAAAAAAATTGCCAATTCATTAAAATATAATCCATTAACTCATCAAATTCTTATGGCGTTGTCCGAACCTGACATATATTTACGTTAAATTTTATTATTACAGTATTAATACATTTAATTATACATTAGATTTGAATAAAAAAAATTACTGACATTTGAAAATTGTTATCAATAGATTAACAAAAGTCTTTTATTTTGAGATAATGTTCACAAATAATTGATTATTTTCCAAAAGTGCTTAATTAAAATTAAAAACCGTTATGACATACTTCTCGGACGTAACGAAAATTGTCCTCGTTGTGAGTGGCTTCGTGATATTTTAATTGATATTTAGTGGTAAAACGTCTATTACACTTTTCACAATGAAAAGGTTTTATGTCGAGATGAATTTTCTGGTGCTTAATTAAGTTGAGTTTACTTTTAAATTCTTTATTACAATTATTTCACTTTTCAATATGAAATTTCAAATGTTCTAGCGTGTTTTTAGTCTTAAATGGCTTGTTACAAATATTGCTTACATACATATTTTCATGTTTAATAATACAATGTCTGGCTAAGGCAGTTGTATTCTTATAACCTTTTTTACATATGTCACAAACATACTTTCTTTTAACCCTATGAATAATTTTATGCTGTCCCAAAGAACCTTTTGTTTTAAAATATTTGTTACAAACCTGACAATAATACTGTAGTTACCGTGTTTCCCCGAAAATAAGACAGTGTCTTATATTAATTTTTGCTCCAAAAAATGCGCTAGGTCTTATTTTCAGGGAATGTCTTATTTTTTCCAAAAAGAAGAATTCACATTTATTATTGAACAAAAAAATTCCCAAGTCGAACTTAGACGAGAGTGACGTATATCCGGTGTNATATGAATAAGTTTATGCTGTCGCAAAAATTGTTTTCTTTTAAAATATTTGTTACATATGTCACAAGAATATTTGTATTCATCGCATTGTATATAAATATGCTTTTCTAAATCACAGCTTTGTTTAAAACTTTTGTTACATACCCGACAAGTATAATCAAATTGATTATTATGAACTACTTTATGAAGTGCCAAATACTGGTGTGTTTTAAAACTTTTGTTACACACCTGACAAGTATAGTTAAGTTTGTCAGTATGAGTTTCGTAAGGTTTTTTTACTTGGTATTTCGATTTAAAACTCTTATTGCAAATATCGCATTTGAAAGGTCGGTCTTTACTATGCGTTGCTTCAAGACGTAACAACATATTTTTACACTTAAATTCTTTTCCACATACCTTGCAGGCATGAACTTTACCGTTTCTTGGAGAAGACTTCACTCCATTTCCAGATGGCTGTAAACGTAAATTACTATGAGAGATTTCGTTTTTATTTTCAGTTTGGTGTTTTCTCATATGTCTTCGCAAATGAAATTGCCACAAAAACTTCTCATTGCAGGTTGTGCAGCGAAATGGTTGTTTTCTAATATGACAGAACAAATGTGTTTGTAATATTCTCTTATTTGTAAAAGTCTGTTTACATAAATCACACGTAAATTGTTCTTTAGAATAAGATGCCAACATAATCCTGAAGTATTTTCTTTTAGTTTTATCATGAATTTTATTGCATTTTCGACTGAAAGGTACGTATCTCTTTGTTTTGATATTATATTTATAACCCTTTCGCTTCTTTGAATTCTGCTGAATATCGTGTTCCCGAATTTGCTTTTCCTTCTCAACTGAAAGTTTAAAAAATAACTTAATGAAGTACTTATTACATTTCAATAAACTTAGCTTTAGTATTAAAGTATTACTGCTTTTGTTTTATATTTGATAAAATATACCTATGTGTATTCCACATACCTTGCAGGCAAAAAGCCAACGGCTACTTTCAACCATCTGTCGATGACCGTTACGACTAAAAGAAAACTTCGCTAGGTCTTACTTTCAGGGGGAGGTCTTATATTTCGCAATTCAGCAAAACCTATGCTAGGTCTTATTTTCGGGGAAACACGGTACGTTTGTTCAGTATGAGTTTTGTGATGGCTTTTTAGATCCTTTTTACATTTAAAACCTTTATTACAAATATCGCATTTAAAAGGACGTTCTTCACTATGAGTATTTTCGTGGCGTTTTAGTTGCACTTTCTGTTTAAAACCCATATTACAAATATCGCATTCGAAAGGACGTTCTTCACTGTGAGTTATGTGATGGACTTTTAGTTCCACTTTCCGTTTAAAACCCTTATTACAAATATCGCAGTTAAAGGGACGTTCTTCACTATGAGTTTTGTGATGGTTTTTTAGGTCGTCTTTCCGTTTAAAATCTTTATTACAAAAACCGCACTTAAAAGGACGTTCTTCACTATGAGTATTTTCGTGGCGTTTTAGTCCCTCTTTTCGTTTAAAACCCTTATTACAAATATCGCATTTGAAAGGACGTTCTTCACTGTGAGTTATCTGATGGACTTTTAGTTCCTCTTTCCGTTTAAAACCCTTATTACAAATATCGCAGTTAAAGGGACGTTCTTCACTATGAGTATTTTCATGGCGTTTTAGTTGCCCTTTCCGTTTAAAACCCTTATTACAAATATTGCATTTGAAAGTACGTTCTTCACTATGACTTTCGTGATGGCTTTTTAGTTCCTCTTTCCATTTAAATCCCTTGTTACAAATATCGCATTTGTAAAGACGTTCTTCACTATGCGTCATTCCATGATATAACAAATTGCTTTTCGACTTAAATTTTTTTCCACATATCTCGCAGGCATGAGCTCTGTATGTTCTCATGTGTCTTTCTAAACAGCCCTTGCCATATCGAACGCTCTTACCACAAATTTCGTAATATATATGAATAAGTTTATGCTGTCGCAAAAATTGTTTTCTTTTAAAATATTTGTTACATATGTCACAAGAATATTTGTATTCATCGCATTGTATATAAATATGCTTTTCTAAATCACAGCTTTGTTTAAAACTTTTGTTACATACCCGACAAGTATAATCAAATTGATTATTATGAACTACTTTATGAAGTGCCAAATACTGGTGTGTTTTAAAACTTTTGTTACACACCTGACAAGTATAGTTAAGTTTGTCAGTATGAGTTTCGTAAGGTTTTTTTACTTGGTATTTCGATTTAAAACTCTTATTGCAAATATCGCATTTGAAAGGTCGGTCTTTACTATGCGTTGCTTCAAGACGTAACAACATATTTTTACACTTAAATTCTTTTCCACATACCTTGCAGGCATGAACTTTACCGTTTCTTGGAGAAGACTTCACTCCATTTCCAGATGGCTGTAAACGTAAATTACTATGAGAGATTTCGTTTTTATTTTCAGTTTGGTGTTTTCTCATATGTCTTCGCAAATGAAATTGCCACAAAAACTTCTCATTGCAGGTTGTGCAGCGAAATGGTTGTTTTCTAATATGACAGAACAAATGTGTTTGTAATATTCTCTTATTTGTAAAAGTCTGTTTACATAAATCACACGTAAATTGTTCTTTAGAATAAGATGCCAACATAATCCTGAAGTATTTTCTTTTAGTTTTATCATGAATTTTATTGCATTTTCGACTGAAAGGTACGTATCTCTTTGTTTTGATATTATATTTATAACCCTTTCGCTTCTTTGAATTCTGCTGAATATCGTGTTCCCGAATTTGCTTTTCCTTCTCAACTGAAAGTTTAAAAAATAACTTAATGAAGTACTTATTACATTTCAATAAACTTAGCTTTAGTATTAAAGTATTACTGCTTTTGTTTTATATTTGATAAAATATACCTATGTTCATCATTTAAAAGCAAAGCAAAGCAAAGCATTATTTGTTGTTTGCATGAAAAATAAAACAGTTTACATTTTACAATGTCTAACTGATTGATCCGGCTTTAGTTTCAGTATCGGACATCCAAATGAGTGTGAAAAATTAAATTGTTTGACTATATTTGTATTTATTTATTTATTTATTTATTTTATTTTATTTAGTTAGTTTTTTGTGTAGTTATTATAGAAACGCGTTAAAAATCGTGTTATTCTAGAGATGACACATAGTAAACGTCTATGGATTTTAATAAAAAAAACAAAATCGGTGGATTCTTGAGGTTTTTTGAATCAGAATACGATAATTTCATTGAATCTCCAGTAGATCTGAACATCGTTTTACAAAAATTTGCCAACACCTTGTTAATATTAACTTATTTATGTCATTAAATAAGTTATATATAACTTGTTTACTTCGTTTCAATACATTTTCTTTATTATTTTAGTAGATCCACGAACAAAGCAAAATAACAAGAATCATTAAATCACAATTCGTGAGTTGTGATTTAATGATTCTGATCATCCCAACATACTTTTATTAAGTTCAAATTTATATTAATACGAAGTCGGTAGTTACTTCTTATTCTCAAATATCTAATACTAGTTAAATGTGTCACAGTTGAAAATTGAATGCAATTCTCCAGCTGCCCTCTGAATAATAGAGGAGAAGGTGGTATTATGGAACCCCAATTACATTTTAGTAAATTGTAAACAAGGTATCATAACTACACCCACATTTTTTGTGCGAAAAGTACTGGTAACTAGTAAACTAAATGTTCCTAATTGGATTTTTCGCTAGTGTAATTATAAGCATGGTTTTTGAAGGCTTTTGCATAAAAAGTCCGAAAGTAGGCTTAGAGAAAATCGGGTGGTAATATGGAACCTTACTGTATATTTTCAAAAAAA